GGAAAAGACAAGAAGGTATCACTTTTATTCCTACTAGGTAGAAAGAGCTTGAAGCCAAACTTAGTTAAGTGTAATCCAGGTCTGATAAATCTCAAGATTTCAAATGACTCATGGGGTAAGAAAAGGAACCGTGAGTGACAGAGTGACCTAACTCACTGCCCTTATATGGATTCTGGCAGTAAAGGTAAGGAGTGGAAACTTGACTCCACAAAATGGATCACCATCCCCAAAGGATGATCTCATCAGAATGTTCTAATGATTCACAAATACTCTCAAAGGGCCAGCCATACCCCTTGTTTGGTGTTAAATTTGCCTTTAAATTGCCTTACATTGATCTCAGCAAGGTGGCAGTGAATGGTGGCATGAAACAAGATCTTAATTCTCTGCCCAGGAATTGAACCTGGGTATCCTGGATGAGAACCAGGAATCCTAGCCACCAGACCAGCAAGGGCTAGAGGCCAGAAGCTATTTTCCCCTAGATCTTTGCTCCCAGTGAAAAATACATTTATCACAGAGGCGGAAACTATAAGTGCAGGTACAAAGTTTATTATTAGAGACATAGCACAAGTGGGAAAGCACATAGAGAAATGGTTTGTTTAGTTAAGACAGAAGCAATTCAGAGATGCACACCTGGAGAGAGAGGTTGTGGAGTCCTCCCCAGTGAGGAGGAGCACAGTAAAGAGGCAGTTAAGTCATTTATATAGGGCAGTTCTTCCAGGTCTTTGTTTGCCTTTAGCCAATTATCTGGTTTCTTTTTTCACACCTGACCTACCCTGGGACACTCCTCTAGGGTTCACTCACCCCTCAGCCAAGATGGATCTCAAAGTGAAGGTTTCTGGGAGGAGCAAGACTCATTATGGCCTGGCATGATCCCTTAACCTGTGACCCACAAGGAGCCTTTCTGTTCATGTGTAGTGTCTCCCTTGTCCCCAAAGTGGGGGGAACAAGGATCCCTTAATCCTTTACTCAGAGTTTTGCCCCTCTTTGTCCTTACCTTGACTATTGCCATGACTATTACCTTAAGGTGTTTACAAGAAACAAACACTGACTATTTACTCTGTTTCTGTTGTTACTTCCATTTCAGAGGGCAAACAGGAGGCTGATTGTAAATGCCTGAACTGGAGCCTGCTTATCTCTTGTCTCAGGAAATGCTAACAGTTGTAGGCATCCAGCCTGAAGCCCACATCTTTGTGCCCCATGAAATGGAAACAGGAGGCCAATTGTAAATGTCTAACCTGGAGCCCATCTGTCTTCGACATCAATACCATTAGAAGAAACAAAAATTCCACTTCTTGGCTAAATTTCATCCTTCTCCTCTGCCTCCCATATTCTGTATTTATCTCAGTGATACATCATGATTAAAAAACAAGGCCATTTCATTTCACTAAAGATTGCTGTGATGAAACGCCAAGATTAATGATCAAAAACAATTCATTGACATGCTGGATAGGGTTTTTGTGTCTCTGTATCTCAGATTCCACTTCTAAAGGCTCAGTCTCAGTAGTTTTTCTTTCTGTTCTCAGGGTTCCTCATTAGAATATGTTTATTGTCTCCCCTCTTTTTCTTTAATCTATTTGAGTTATGTGTTTCATTTGCAAACACATTTGTTTGGCAAATTCAAGTGACAGCTTTCAATTTGGCACAGCAAATGTGTTAAGTTCTTCCTTTCTGTAAACATCCACAGGTTTACAGGGTCCTGAACTAAGGCACATCGGTTTAAAATTCAGACCCAGGGACATCGTTCCCTGAGGCAGGTCATTACATATAAGCAGTATCCTTTTAGTGAGTAAAAGCAATGGGAAGCAAAAGTTAATCAAAAGTTAAAGTGAAAAAAATAGATCCAACTTGGAGTACTAATTGACTCTTTCCTGTAACACTTCTAGCAATGGCATATTATTTCTGAAAACTGTTCTAAGTTATTAGTGTGCATGTGTATTTCTGAGAGTAATTTTGCTCACATAAATGTATTTTTTAATGTGAATTGTAGTTTAAAGAAGAAACTCACTCTGCTGCATTGCTTCCCTCGTGGCTCATCTGGTAAAGAATCCGCCTGTAATAGGGGGGACCTGGGTTCGATCCCTGGGTTGAGAATATCCCCTGGAGAAGGGAACAGCTACCCACTCCAGTATTCTGGCCTGGTGAATTCCATGGACTGTATAGTCCACAGGGTCGCAAATAGTCAGGACACTGACTTTCACTTTCTACTGCATTGGATGTACATTTGTGTGTTTGAATTCTATCAATGCTGTTGCCAGCTTAGATGCTTGTGTAACACATTACTCACAGCAGTAGGGCAGTTTCCCCTGTATTGTGTGGTAGACTGCTTTAGAGCATGATTGCTCACTTAACCCCTCCGCTCCTCATTTACCCACTTAAATAGAGGTACTTATTTCCACTTCAGGCTTTAGCATCAAGCCTCATTTGTCCCTGTTTCTCCTGATTCTTTTGTCTTTAACCCCCCATTCTCTCCAATTTTTCCACTGTCCGATTCTGGTGGAGTATGAATTCTTTTCCTAAGTATTTGCTCTGGCTTTCTGAAATTATAAATGAAAATCAGCCATCACTTAACAAAGAAGCCTGATTTCATTTTACTCATTAAAATGGCTTCTCATATAACAGTTTGCACAAACTGAGATTAACACCAACATTTTGAAGTAGTTATAGGTAACATTACATTGAATATAAATGACTTATGAAATGCTATTTTTTTGAAACTTGACCACAGCTCCCCCTCTGAAAGATGACACCTAATTTTATTTTCCTTCTTTTGCTACAGCAGAATCCTCTTAGTATCTCTTTAATGATTTATCTAACATTGTCCAGAATAATATTAAAATATAGTGATAAGAAAAGGTCTGCTAACAGTAATCACTAGTTTTCCACTAAGAAACAAAACTATTCAATTAAACATACTAGCAAATGTTAAGTACGTACTGAGTTTAACATAAGACTTTATTTTCCTTTTGTTTGGTTTTACTCAGCATTGAAAACAGCCTTACATTCTTGTTTGGTAATCTTGTTAATGTGTTGCTAAAGTTAGTTATTCATATTTAATGGAGATTTATGGATTATTTAAAATTTATATTGCACTGCATTTAGTAGCATGCTTTCTTCATTAAATTTTATCATATTTCTTCAAAAATATAAATGAAACTTTTTCACAATTTAGAACCATTTCATTAGCCATAGATTTCTCTTTTCCTTAAATGTCTAAGAGGATACACTCTTGGAAGCCTAATCTTTGAGGATGGTAGCTCATTGATGACTTTTTTCCCCATTTATCTTAGTTCTCACTGCTTTCTAGGTTTAATTTAAGCAATTTGTAATTTTTTAGAAACTCTTACATTTCATATTTTTTAACATGTTAACATAAGTTTTTAAAAACTATATTCTTAGAATTTTTAAACACTTTAATTCTATGTATAGGTTTGGGTCTACTTTTATAGACAAAAATAATGTTCAAAAACTTTTTAACTTTGCAGTTGTTTAAGGAATTTTCAAGTTATAAACATGTAGATGTTTGTTTTATGTTGTGTTTGGAAAATTTTAAAGGTCATTTCCAAATTTTTTAATTGGAGGATAACTGCTTTACAGTATTGTGTTAGTTATGCTGTACAAAATGTGAATCAGCTGTAAGTATAAATATATCCCCTCTCTCGTGAACCTCCCTCCCTGAAAATTTTTGATATGAGAGATGAAATTTTTCCTGCCATATCAGAGAACAAAGGATATCACAGTCATCAGCAATTGCAGTCAGCACAGAAGGTTGATGAGCCCTGAGAGGATTCAGGAAGGAAAGAATTCCTGCCATCTAATGGCCATCATACTGCAGCCACACCCTACAGTGAGCCCTGAGGAAGTTTAGGATATGGGGGAAAAAATGGGATACTGGCCCCAGAAAGCTGAGGTATGTATCAAAGGAATGATTTCACTGAGCCCAGACTGTTGCATCTTCCCATGCATAGAAAAGGGCTAACTTCCTTAACTTGAAATATCTGGTTTTCTTTAATAATTTTTAATGCTCAGATTACATGCCCTTTGTTGCAAAACTTCTTTATAACCTGGCTCCTCCCCTCATCTCCCTGGAGCAGTTCTCTCAGGGTTACTTGAGATGCTGTCTCCAGGGCATGAAGTCCTAAAAAGTCCCACCAAATAAAACATAACTCTCAACTTTTAGGTTGCAAATATTTCTTCAGTTGACAGATGCTTTCATGAATGTGGCTGCTTTCCAGTCAGTTGTCTCTGTGGGTGTTTACTCATATGCAGTGCTACAGATCAACAAAATATTTTGCTTCACTTTCAGTGGTTAAATCTGTTGAATTCATTGCCTGTTTCTGAATAATTGGTGGTAGAAAGCAGTTTTGTCATATCACTTACCAAGTGTAATATCGATATTAGTATTTTACCATCAAAATGGTATGTCAAAATAAATCTTATCCGTTAAGAAATCAACCTATTATTTACTGTTTTTCACGTAAAATTATCTGTCAAATAGTCATGTCTTACTTTTTGGCTTGACCTGTCACAGCTTTCAGGATATAGAATCATCCTAGAAGTCTTGGACATCGCTTACTAGAAGGCATTTGAGAGAAAAACCTGCCGTGATACATGTTGGTTTGCTAGTTGGTAGGCTGGCATTGTCTCCAAACATAAGAGTTAAGCTAAAACTTGCTCTTTTCCCCAAGGAGAATGGAATCTCTAACCCCCCACCCCCCTGCCCACCAGGAGCCTCTTCTGTCTACTCCAAAAATATAAAAATGTTCACTCAAGATCACAAGTTTTGTCAAAATTGTGGTACATTTACTGCTTCAGAGGTTGTGGGCCGGTTCCTTTTATTGCTAGTCCATCAGTTACTTGCTTTGGATATTTTTTTTATAAACCCAAGCTCTTTCTCAGAAATTATAAGTGGCTCTGAAAAGAGCCTTTGGTTTCAGTTTGGTACTTTTCCAACTCTCTTCAGACATTCAGGTCGTTTGCTTAGCTTTACAACTTGGGAGGTGTTACTTGCACTGGACCTTGTGGTGGCTCTCGGTCTTCTTGGGGAGCAGCACAGCCTGGATGTTGGGCAGGACACCGTCCTGCGCGATGGTCACACCTCCCAGCAGCTTGTTGAGCTCCTCGTCAGTACGGATTGCTAACTGCAGGTGGCGCGGGATGATGCACGTCTTCTTCTTGTCCCGGGCCGCGTTGCCTGCCAGCTCCAGGCGCTCGGCCGTCAGGTACTCCGGCACCGCCTCCAGGTACACGGGTGCACCAGCCCCCATGCGTTCTGCGTAGTTGCCCTTTCAGAGCAGGCGGTGGACTCGGTCCACAGGGAACTGCAGGCCCGCTCTGGATGACCAGGTTTTGGCCTTAGCACGTACTTTACCACCCTACTTTCCACGAACAGACATAAAGATGCACACCTGTTATAACGGAAAAAATTACCGTTAGGGCGGTGCGGGGGTCTATTTATAGTCTCAGGTAGGTTGTGATTCGCTATCTGATTGGCTGATACTCTTGTATCAAATCAGAGTACCGTTACTGGAATCACTTCATTTACATACACACACCCATTATCCAATCAGATGTGAGCTGCCCAACTGGGCATCTGAGCACTGTACCTATAAATACCACACTTGCGTTGAGTGAGTGCCAGTCTTTTGCCATCTAGGAGTTGTACGTCTACCATGACAGAGCTGACTACAAAGGGGCACTACCATTTCTAAAAAAGGCTTCAAGAAAGCTTTAACTAAAACCCAGAAGAAGGAAGGGAAAAAGCGGAAGAGATGTCGAAAAGAGAGCTATTCAGTTTACATCTACAAGGTGTTGAAGCAAGTTCACCCAGATACGGGCATCTCTTCAAAGGCCATGAGCATCTTGAATTCCTTTGTCGGTGACATTTTTGAGCGCATTGCAGGTGAGGCGTCGCGCCTGGCACATTATAACAAGCGCTGCACTATCACGTCCAGGGAGATCCAGACGGCTGCGCCTGCTGCTGCCTGGGGAGCTGGCCAAACACGCCTTGTCCGAGGGCACCAAGGCCGTCACCAAGTACACCAGCTCCAAGTAAAGTGTCGGCTGTCAGACGACCTTTGTAAACCCAAAGGCTCTTTTAAGAGCCACTTAAGTTTCTAGAGGGCTGTAGGCTTTTTATTTGGCTGGTTAATATGTGCGGTCAGGCGCTCTCACTAGAATGAAAAAGGATTAACATCCATTTTATTTCACTCCCCAGCTGTAACATGGTTAAGAAACACGCAGGTAATTTGCTAGTCACATGTGACTAGTAATCAGTAAATGAAGTCTCTGATCACAAGATATTTCAAAGAAGGGAGCTCTCGAAATGTGTTTCAGGGAGGTTTTATGGTTGAGGGCCATGAGAAACATGGCTTGACCGTCTCTCCTATGTCTATTTCAAGTTTGTTTTTAATCGGGTATTAGTGAAAGGGACCTGAAAACTGGAAAAATTAAGATAGTAGCCATGTCTGACATGGGAGCATTAAGGCTATTTTGCTTCTTTGCATTTTCTGCATTGTGTGAAAATTCTGGATTAGGCCAGATGCCCTACAGTTGCTGAAATTTCGAGTTCCTGGGTTTCTTGGTCTGGTGATGTCATCTGGATAATATTAAAATTAATATTTTATTGTTTGTATTTAGAAATTTATTTTCAGAGGATGTATATAGGATCAGGAAGATCACCTGAAGAAGGGAAAGAATACCCACTCCAGTATTCTGGCCTGGAGAATCACAAGGACTGTATAGTCCATGGGGTCACAAAGAGTAGGACACAACTGAGCGACTTTGTCACTTTCATATAGGATCAACTAGACTGTCACAGAAAATAATACAATAAAAGCCAAGACTGATGACATAGAAATCAGATGGCAGAATTCTGCTAACAGTCCAGTTGGGATCAGATAACTAAATCTTCATTAGCTGTTAGACTAATGATTTTAAGATTGCTTCGTGGAGAAAGTCAGTTCTGCAGCCACAGAATACTGGAGTTTACTGGAGTAGCCCACTCAATTCATGCAAGTGTATCTGCTCTTGACACACATCTTGATCATCACTGTTTTTTATTTGTTTCACTGAAACACTTTTTCTCATTACTTCCGCTCTCAGTCCTCTAGTATAATTTTGAAGAATTTGGAGTGGGTCAAATGATAACTAACCTCTTCAGAATGAATTTCTCATTAGGAAAGTCCATTTATTAGCTTCCTAGGGCAGCTACAAGTTACCAAAAACTGGTTGACATAAAACAAATATATTCTTTCACTGTTTTGAAGGCCAAGAAGCCCAGTATCACTGTCCATAGGGCTGGTTCCTTGTGGAGGCACCGGAGAATCTGTTCTATTTATGTGTCTCTTACCTGGCCTCTGGAGGCAGCTGACAATCTTTGGTGTTCCTTGGCTTGCAGCTGCACTACTCCAACCTCTGTCTGCCTCAGTTTTCATATGGTCCTCTGCTTTGCAGCTCTGATACCCCTCTCCCGTCTCTCATAAGGTTACCCTCAATTTTACCAGAATGATCTCAGAATTCTTAACTACACCCTATTTTCAAACAAAGCTCACATTTAGGTATCAGAGATTAAGACTTGGGCATATCCTCTTGCAGGACATAGTTCAGCCTATTACACTTCACATATTACCAAACAGATCTTAATTTAAGGTTTAGCTTAACCTTGACTCACAAAATTTACATCACACTATCTGGATAGAAGTATTATAGAGTAAATTAAAGAGAATACAAAGCCTTCCTTAGACACCTAATTATCTCGCTCATTCATAGTCAACTGAAATGACCTTGTGTGTTTATGTCTGCCTCACTAAACTAGAATGGAAACAGTGAGAGTAAGGACCTCCTCTCTTTCTTACACACACATGCACACACACAATCAGTGAATGAAGACTGAAGAAAAGGGAAACACAAATTTTAAAAACTTTTTTGGAAAACAAAGTAAAGAAAAACAACAAAATTCAGTCACCTGCCCGTGACTTGCCCTGAACTGAAGAGTTAAGCAGTGTCAGCCTGCCAGACTCATGCAGTAAGGGCTTTATGTGGTCTAGCTCCCTCTGGCCCTGCTCCCTGGATTGGTTTCTTCCTTGCCCTGTAGACCTCAAAGACCCATCTGAGATGAGACTACAAAGTTTCCTTCTTGAGGACTGTACCAACAATTTCTCCTTTTCTTGATTCAGAGCCATTATGGTGGCTTTAGGGTAATTACAGCATCTGGGTTTCTAAACAGGCCTAGTTGCCCTGCCCTTTTTCCAGGCCTTATCTTACTGGTATCCACTCATGTTCTCTGTTTTGTGGCACAAAAGAACCACAACTTAGAATCAGGGAGAGACAGCAAACATCTCCTCTGCTTCCAGGGAAAATCTCAGTGGGTAACCATTGCAATGATTTTAGGGTGAAGTTAACAGCTAGATGGTGTTTGGGGAGGATAGCACTTAAAGGGTCTGCTTTTCTCAGTTCTCAAACCAAACATTGTTATATTTAAAGCAGAACCCTAACTTTGCCATAGTCCTTTTCTCAGAAAATTCTGTCTTGCCAACTCTGTATGACTGACAGATTGAGATCTGAGTGGAAAGACATCACCTTTCTTAAATATTGTAACAACCTGAAAAAAAATTTTTTTTTCTATGCTTTCACGTGAATTGTCTTAAACCAAAGTCGTACTCTTATTTTTCTGACATAATTAACATAATTAAGAGATCTTTAGAGCCTGCAAACCCAACCCAACTGCCTGTGTTTGTTTCACCAAGTTCCATAATGCTGGTCCTTGGTCTGCATCTGGTCTGCATCTCTGACAGAACGAGAGTTTGACCAGCTGCTTTGCCTTTCTATAATTTCCAAGCTCCTAGTAGGAAATGAAGGAATCTGTTACAGAACAGGTGGGAATAAAGTGAAGCATGGCTCAAAGGAAAAATGATAGATTTAATTAACAAATTAGAAAGTATATATGCAAGCAGTCCTTCAGGTAGTATGGAAATTGTAAAACTGGCTATGCAAAGCAGCCTTAATGGAAAAATCATGATTGTTCCCTGATCTTTAAATTTTTTTTATCAAAACATTAAAAGCTCTTACCATCTATCAAACATATAAAGGGAAGTGAAAAAGTAGTAAAGACACTGTAATTTTAAATATTAAAACAGTGAGAAGTGTAATTTCTTGGATGGTGCTTGCTTTCTTCAAGTTTGGATTAGCTTCCAACATTTTATCCTTTGCATTTTTAGTGCCATGAACTATCTCTGAGAATTCCTTTAATATGAAGTATTTTGCCAATGCCACTCTCTTTGGAACTTTTTCTTCATCACAACCATTTTCTACATTTATGTAAATTGGCCTTCACAGAGTTCCTCTGGTTGCACAGCTAGAGTCAATAGTGACAAGGTCAACATTCCCCCTGCCAACTACTACCCCAATAACTCCATTTATGTTTGATTTAAATCCCACTCCCAGGGTTATTACTTTTTTGTTGCTTTGTTCTACTTTCATTTTGTTGACTATTGACTCTTGTCATGTCCCTTCATCACTGGGAGACAAGGAGGCAGCTAAACTACTATGCTTTCTATTTGTGAATAAGCTGAGTAACATGTGCAATGACCAGATGCTAACATGTTTTATCATTATTTTTTAATTAGTATTTATTGAAATATAGTTGATTTACAATGTGTTAATTTCTGCTGTACAGCAAAGTGGTTCAGTTATATATGTACATTTTTTAATATATTTTTCCATTATAGTTTATCATAGGATATTATATATAGTTCTCTGTGCTATACAGTAGGACCTTGTTTATAACAAATTTTAAAATAAGTGATATAATTAGGTGACTGAGCATGGTTTGTATGTGTTGCTTGTGCAATAACTTGTGAACTAAAGAGCCAGCAGTGAAGTCTGTAGTTTATGCAATCATATCCTCACCATTAATGACATTGGAACTGTGTTTTGGGGCAGTTGGTGTTATTTAACTAAACCATGGTAAGTGCATTCATTTATATCAAAATTGTGCAATCTAAGGCCTGTCACTACAAAATGAGCATACTGCTAAATAAAAACTAGGAAAAACAAAAATAACATGAACCAGTGGAAGCAGAAAGGATAAACAATGAACAACAAAAATAATTAGAAAAAGAAAACAGTAAAATTAATAAATTAAGAATAAAGAAATAGTAAATACACTTAAAAGGTTAACCAATAGCTATTGTCATTTGTAGAAAAATAAGAAAACACAAATACAAAATTAAGACTAATAAAGGAGCTGTAGCTACAAAGACAGTGGAAATAATCTTTAAAGCATTTTCTGGCAAAATATAATTTTCAAAAGCTTATTACAAATTATTAGCAACTCTTAATAGAAAAATAGAGAAACTTGTCAAACTGTCACTTGAAAGGGGGCTCCAAGTACAAACTGTTTCAAAAAGAGAAGTCTACCAGAGTTTCAAAGAAAAGAGAAAAAACAAAGCTCTTCAGTTCCAGAGTATTAAACGGACAACCATCCTCCATATTATTTTTATGAATTGAATAAAAATTTGTACACATTGCACACATTAAAAAATGAGATAAATTTAACCTACAATATTGAAGCATAAATTGTAAATGATAACACTGCAAGCAGAGCCCAACAGAACAGTATGCAAGAATGACTATTAGGAAGTTTATTAAAATAACTCCTATCTTAGGAGAGAAAACCTATGCTTACTCTTCAGAGATGCTCTAAAGATGTTTTATAAATTTCAACATGCATTCTTGACTTAACGATTCTCAGTAGATAGAGAATTCTTCCTCATTGTATGACATATGTAATGAGGAATAGTGCACAGATCTTCAGCAAAGTGAGGGATAAAACAAGCATGGCCACCCTACTTAACATCTTTATGAAGCTACAAGGCACTGAAATCAGAGGAAAGAAATTAGAAGTGAACTAACTGAAAAGCAGCAGTAAAATGTTTACTATTTTCAGACATCATTGCAAACATGTAAAACCCAACAGAATTGTTATCAGAATGCCAATATGAAAATTAGTCGATTCAATAAGATATAAAAGATGCACAAAAATCAGTACTTTCATATAAAATAAAATGCTGGAAGATATGAATAGTGAAATACACTGTGGAAAGAAAAGTTATCTAGAACTACATTTAATTTAAAAATATGCCACATGTATTAAACTTGTCCTCATCAATGACAAGGTTCCAATTTCCCTTCAGGTGAATGACTCGGGCAACCTCTGGGACTAGGGTGTTACCGAAAAGGGATTTGAGAGGAAATCCTCTGAGGAGGCTTTTATTAGTTAATTGGAAACCCAAGTAAATGTAGTCCTCTGACCTGTGTGAACACTCAGAACTGAGACCAGCTTGAGAGTAAAGCCAGGGTCGGGAAAAGGGCAGTAAGACTGTAGGGCCATGCACCCAGGGCTCTGATCAATGTCTGTTACCGCTGATGTTTCTTCAGTGTTGGTCTGCTGAGCAGAGCCCACATGGTTCAGTAATACAAGGCACATTTTTATTGATTCATCACACAACATAAACACCCACAAATGATCATGCCATCTTTTGGGGGGGAGGGATCAAAAAGAGGTTGTTACTGTTTCCTAGTCAATTTTGGGTAGCCAGGTTGTTGCGTTACAATATAGGTGATGGCAGTATTCCCACATTCCAGGGATAATAGGCACTGAACAGCATACAAGGGTGTGCCATTAGGGCAAAAAAAAAGCCTACGTGCTTAACCTTTAGAATTAGGCTGGCCCAGAGGGTCCCACCTTAAACACCAACAGTGGAAAAAAGCTACCCTTAATGTGTTAATGTTCTATTCCTTTTATCACACTCCCTTTCTAGATCTCTGCACAGCTTTGGGCCTTTCATAGAAAGTTTTTTTAAAAAGTCATTCATAGAAACGAAAGCCCAAATAGCCTTCCTGAATCCACTATTCTGAGACAGTTTGTTTTATGTTGTATATCATCAAGCTTTTCTGAATTCATTGGGGCCTTTTGAGAACACTAGTTATACAGTAACACCTGTGTTGAATAACCAGGAGTAATTTAACTATCAATCCTAGTGCTTATTGTAATCTCTCAGTCCCAACTCTTTGCAACTCCATTGACTGTAGCCCACCAGGCTCCTCTGTCCACGGAATTCTCCAGTCACTACTGGAGTAATTACGTATCCATTCTCTTTTCCAGGGGATCGAACTCAGGCCTCCCCAATTGCAAGCACAATCTTTACCATCTGAACACCTAGGAAAGACTAAGAAATCGCAAGCGGTTAGCCTAGCCATCACGGGAACATTCCAGACCCAGAAATCGAACCGGAGTCTTCTGCAGCAGGTCTTTACTAGCAAGCTACGTAAAGTGAATACCGAGCCCACAGCTTTTTTAAGTGTGTTAGGTGGCTCTGAAAAGAGCCTTTGGGTTACTGAAAAGTGCTTTTTACAAGTTTATTTGGAGCTGGTGTACTTAGTAACAGCCTTAGTGCCTTCAGACACGGCATGTTTAGCCAATTCCCCCGGCAGCAGCAGGCGCACAGCTGTCTGGATCTCCCTAGATGAAATGGTTGAACGCTTGTTGTAATGCGCCAGGCGCGATGCCTCACCAGCAATACGCTCAAAGATGTCAGTGACAAAGGAATTCATGATGCTCATAGCTTTCGATGAGATGCCAGTATCCGGGTGAACTTGTTTTAAGACTTTATAGATATATACTGAGTAGCTCTCTTTTCTGCATCTCCTGCGCTTTTTCCCTTCTTTCTTCTGAGTTTTAGTAACGGCTTTTTTAAACCCTTTCTTGGAGATGGCAGCACCCTTCGAAGAGAACTCCGGCATGACTAGTATCAGTAGCTCTTCAGTGTTACCAGTTCTTTCTAGCGTTAGCAGCTCCTTATAGTATGAACAGCTAATCACGGAGAAGACACTTCCCAGGCACGCCGAATAATCAAAGACGTTTACGTGGGTGGAAAGAGTGGTATTTATAGGCACGGCGCTCAAGTGACGTATCAAGAGGCCAACGTCTGATTGGATATCTGGGACTGTCGTGTATGTAAATGAGGCGATTTGCTTGAGCTTTGCTGATTGGCTAGCCAGCAATCAGCCAATCAGAAAGCAAAGCACAACCTACCGTCAGACTATAAATAGGTCCAGTAGAGTTTGCTGGAAGTTTTTTTTAGGCGTACCACCATTTTGTTCTGAGATTTTGTCGGGTCGCGGGAAGCAAGGCGGCAAGGCCCGTGAAAAAACAAAAACTCGCTCATCCAAAGCAGGTCAGACTATAAATAGGTCCAGTAGAGTTTGCTGGAAGTTTTTTTTAGGCGTACCACCATTTTGTTCTGAGATTTTGTCGGGTCGCGGGAAGCAAGGTGGCAAGGCCCGTGAAAAAACAAAAACTCGCTCATCCAAAGCAGGTTTGGAGTTTCTGGTGGGCAGGATCCACTGCCTGCTCCGCAAGGGCAACTATGCCAAGCGCGTTGGGGCAGGTGCGACAGTACACTTGGCAGCAGTGTTGGACTAAAACGGCTGAGATCTTAGAATTAGCAGGTAATGCATCACGTGACAAGAAGAAGATCCGCATCATTCCTCGCCATTTGCAGCTGGCCATTCGTAATGCTGAGCTTAACAAGCTCATGGGGGGTGTGACTGTTGCTCAGGGTGGCGTCATGCCCAATATCCAGGCTGTGCTGCTACCCAAAACGACCGAGGAGCCACCCTCACAAAGTACAGAGCTAGGAATCGTAGTGCAGAATGCCAGTGAGCAGTCCAAATGTCTGGTAAACTGACGGCAACCAAAGGCTCTTTTCAGAGCCATTAAAATATATCAGTGAGGGCTGTGACATCGAGTGGGCCTGTAAATTGCAGTTTTCCAGCAATAGGCTGCCAAAATTTTCTAGTAACCACAAACTTTGTACTATGAAACATTTGAATGTTGATTCGAACACTTAAGTTTCCTTGAAGCTGTTTGCTTGTGGGCCCTCAAGATGCTTATCAGGCGAGAGGAGAAAAGCTTCATTCTAATACCCTTTTTATGGCTCATTTTGGTGAGTATTTGACAATCTCTGACTTAACACGTGCAGAGAAAATGTCTTAAAATGTAATGTCCATCAAAAACCTTAATGGCATATGTAGGGAAGAGAGGGATACTAACATCTCTAGAGGTGGGAATATATCACATGTGTCATTGAAATCATTACGCAGTTTTGGGCAGATTTTTCAAGAGATTTAGCCTCTACACAACAGCGGCTTCACTTGATCTATAATAAACACCAAGAAAAATTGGAAAGCAAATGAACGATTGTCAGACTTATAGAAGATTCAGCAGTTTGCCCTATTTCAAGGAGAAAGAGTCACTGGGTTTTTTTTTTTTTGTAAGTCATTTTAGACACTTGAGAGCTACACGGAAGACATACAGAGATAGGTACAAAGAAAAGTATAGAGTTCTGTAAGAAGTTAAAAGATGAAAGTAAACTTCCAAGTAATTAGCCTCCAGCTAATAAACATAAATGAAAAAGAAAGTAAACTTCCATATGTTGATGAAGGACAATCAAGTTATGAAAAAGACTCAGGTCTTGACTTAATGTACGTAGATAAAGGCATGCGATTGAGGAGAGCACAAAAGGAAGGGAAAATTTTGAAAACTGAAAAGGAAAAAGGAAACTCATACAGATACATTGAACAAAACTAGTTTATGTTTAGAACATGGTATTAAAAACTTTAAAATGTGAAATTTTAAAATCCAAGAATGCTGATGTGATTGGCTAAATGAGGGATATGTGAAAATTTTACAAAACAGAAGAATTCCAAATAGAATAAACGGTCCTCCATCAAGCAGCTGGACCGTAACTCCCCAGACTTAAAGTGGAGCATGCAAAAGCCAGGGAGAATGCGAGTGACTTTACAGAAACCTGGAACACTACCTTAGATGATCAGTGTTAACGTGATAAACCACATTGTTTGCATGTGCCCTTACTACGATGTGTTGAGAAGGGCAATTCAGGCATCTAGTCTTCCAACAACCCATAATCTCAGACTAAACATGAGAAAAACATCAGACAAATCCAAATTGAGGGACATTCTTTAGAATATGAGTCCTCAAAATCACCAAGGTCATCAAAAACAAGGAAATTCTGAGAAACTGTTAGCCCAGAGCAGTTAAGGAGACATAATGCCATATAAAACAACCTGGGGATTAATCAGCATATAATTTATAGTCAGCATCCATCCATATTCAAGGTTCCTTCACATCCACAGATGCAGCAACAGACTGCATAGCCCTGTAATGTTTACTATTGAAAAGTATCTGCGTACAAATTCAAACTCCAGTTGTGCAAAAGTCAACTATTTTATATTGGCTCCCGGGACAGAAAAACAGCGTTAGATAAAATCTAATGAAATCCAAACAAAATTTAGAGTTTAACTCACAGTAAAGTGCCAGTGTTAGCTCTAGCTTGTGACAAATGCATGAATGTTCTCAATAGAGGAAACAGAGGTATATGGGAACTATCTGTATAACTTTTATGTTAAATCTAAAATTATCCCAAGTTAGAAAGCTTATTGGAAAAATAAAAACATTTTTTATTAAATTAGGGAAGAGTCCCAAACCCATAAACAGATGAGTAGACTCAACTCTTAAGCAGAAAGCATGAGTAGCTCTGAAAAGAACCTCTGCTTTTCAGATGTGTCCTTGTAAAAGCTCTCTTATAGGTGTTTTATTTGGTGACAAGACATAGTGCCTTGCACACAGTGTAGTTGGCAGATTCCCCAGGCATCAACGGGCAGAAGCTCTCTGGAATTCCCTGTAGAGGATAGTCAGTCTATTGTAATGAGCGGGGCAGATGGATTCACCAGCAGTGTGCTCAAAAGTCAAAAACAAGTTCGGTATTCACATAGAGATCCCAGTGTTGGGATGAACGTGCTCTAAGACCTACCTTGTGGACCTTAAGTGTAATAGCACCATCTGTGACATCTCTGGTTCTTCTTGCCTTTCTTTTCATCTTATGGTGGCTGCTGCTGCTGCTAAGTCGCTTCAGTCATGTCCAACTTTGTGTGACCCCATAGATAGCAGCCCACCAGGCTCCGCTGTCCCTGGGATTCTCCAGGCAAGAACACTGGAGTGGGTTGCCATTTCCTTCTCCAATGCATGAAAGTGAAAAGTGAAAGTGAAGTCGCTCAGTCGTGTCCGACTCTTTGTGACCCCATTAATTGCAGCATGCTAGGCCTCCCTGTCCATCAGCAACTCCAGGAACCTACCCAAACTCATGTCCATTGAGTCACTAATGCCATCCAGCCATCTCATCCTTTGTCCCTTCTCTTCCTGCCCCCAATCCCTCCCAGCATCAGGGTCTTTTCCAATGAGTCAACTCTTCACCAAAGAGTGGCCAATGAGGTGGCCAAAGTATTGGAGTTTCAGCTTCAGCATCAGTCCTTCCAGTGAACACCCAGGACTGATCTCCTTTAGGATGGACTGATTGGATCTCCTTGCAGTCCAAGGGACTCTCAAGAGTCTTCTCCAACACCACAGTTCAAAAGCATCAATTTTTCTGCACTCAGCTTTCTTCACGGTCCAACTCTCACATCCATACATGACCAATGGAAAAACCATAGCCTTGACTAGATGGACCTTTGTTGGCAAAGTAATGTCTCTGCTTTTTAATATGCTATCTATGTTGGTCATAACTTTCCTTCCAAGGAGTAAGCGTCTTTTAATTTCATGGCTGCAGTCACCATCTGCCATGACTTTGGAGCCCAGAAAAATAAAGTCAGCCACTGTTTCCCCATCTATTTGCCATGAAATGATGGGACCAGATGCCATGATCTTAGTTTTCTGAATGTTGAGCTTTAAGCCAACTTTTTCACTCTCCTCTTTCACTTTCATCAAGAGATTCTTTAGTTCTTCTTCACTTTCTGCCATAAGGGTGGTGTCATCTGCATATCTGAGGTTATCGATATTTCTCCTGGCAATCTTGATTCCAGCTTGTGTTTCATCCAGTCCAGCATTTCTCATGATACTCTGAGATATCTGCATATAAGTACTCTCATATGAGTACTCTGCATATAAGGCAAGAGGACAAGAGGAGACTGAAAAAAGAGGTGGACCACTCCAGATTAATGGGTGGCAGTTTTAATAAGCAAGGGAACTTATGTATGAGGCTTGTTTTATGCAGCTACAAGACAAGCCAATCCCTGTCCACCAGAATCTTATTTATGTAGCAGTCTTAACAGGGTTCAGCCAGGAGTATAGTCCAGATAGTCTTAGTAACACATTACTCTCTCAAGGCTGCATCCTTGAAGGGGCTCCTAGTTCAGGGACAGTGGGTAGAACGTTCATTTCAAGGCCAGGAGGATTGAGGAGCCTTCAGTTGCTTGGGTCCATTTCAAGGGTCAACTGGTGTGATTGCATCCTCCTGATGACCTCCCTCAACATCTCTCAACTACTCTTAGCTTAGCTGTGGGGTCTAGCTCCTGCCTACCTCACTGGGCTCTTTTCTTATCATGGTCTCCCATTGTGTTCTCATATCAATACACTTGCAGTTCCATGAGTTTAATTCACTTTTGTCTTTCTTAGTTGTATCCCCCCCACCCCCCAAATGTTCTTCCTGCCCTTCTTTAGTTTCTATAAATCATTCAAGATTATGGTCTTATAATAATATTTCATTATTTCAATCAATGCTGAAATGTACACCTACAAGCAAATAGCTGTTGCCTCCTTCTGAAGTAGTTGTCTTAAACTATTTCTAGATATAGGATGATTGGATCAAAGAGTGTACATGATTTTACAGCTTTGTCTGCATATTGTTAAATTACTCTTCCAAATGGTTACATCCAAAAAACCACAGCAAAGCATGAAAGTATATGTTTTATTTTGCTCTCAAAGAATTTGGTGTTGCTTAGATAAAGATTTGCTTAAGTGTTAGCATAAAGTGCTACCATATTATTGTTTTACTTTGGATTTCTTTTTATCATTGGGAGACTGAACATTTTCATTCATATATATGTGTATGCGCGTGTGTGTGTATACATACATACATGCATGCTAAGTCGCTTCAGTTATGTCTGGCTCTTTGCAACCCCATGGACTATAGCCCCCCAAAGCTCTCTGTCCATGGGATTCTCCAGGCAAGAATACTGATGTAGGTTGCCATGCCCTCCTCCAGGGGATCTTCCCAACCCAGGGATTGAACCTGCATCTCTTAACATCTCCTGCATTAGTAGGCAGGTTCTTTTCCACTAGTGCTGCCTGGGAAGCCATACACACACACACACACACACACAACATTTTATTTTGCCAGTTAGTCTTATCTTATGAAATGTCTCTTTGGGTCCCTTAAAAAATAATTTAAACAATAAATTCACATTCACTGTTCTCTAATATTATAAAACTTAGGTTATGTTCGACCCTTAATAGAATATTTGTGAAATCTGAAGAAAACAATTGCCTCTTGATGAACTTGACTTGAAACTTGAATTCATTAACTTGAAATGTGGTCACACATGAGCTCCTTTATAAGCAGACTCTTAGCTGACACCAGAGGGAGACAGTAGGCACTCCACGTGAAAATATATCCAATTTTTAGTGCCTTTCCGAAATAACACTGGAGAAAATATATAGCGAAATTAGGAATACTATACTTAACAGTCTTAGGGAGAAAAACAAGATATCTTGTTTAAAATATATATTCAGACTGCAACCTTTCATGAACCAGGAAAGATATAAAATAAGAATGGTGATTAAGAGAACAACTGTAAAACACTCATAAATGTCTTTACAGATCTTGTTTTCTCA